AGTTCTGCCCAGTTAGTCTTGCTAAGCTACTGTTAGCCTCTAGTGCTAATGAGGACAGTGGATCAAAAGCAGCTTAAGCTCCACACCCAGAAACACAGATTAGAGTCTTTACTGTCTGAGCTGATCTCAGTGAAGCTTCACTGAGCTGGACTGAGTCTGTGTTGTGGGTAAAGCTGTATCATGCTAGGCTACTGCAGTCGAGCTGCACCAGCAGCATTTATTTATTTCAGCAACATCTCATTGCAAAAGGCTGAACATCTCAAACACATTAGCTCCGTTAGCGCAGGCCTGTTCTGTAGCTGTAAGTTCTCATAGATGACAGCAGCACATGTTCACTCTGGGGGAAAGCAACCTCTCTAATTTTATTGGTGATAAATATTTTTAGTTTACCATTTTTCATCCTGTCTGCAGATAGCCTGAAGCCACAGATCTCTCCTTTTCCTGTCCTTTATTCTTTTGGGGAAGCAAAGAAAGTCGTAAAAAGCCTTCTTTTTTTTACAGTGCTGTAAACTCTGCACTCTAGTAACATATTTGATATAAATATAAGTATAATCAAGTATAATCAATTTCAGCAGTTTATATATCATAATATGTTAATAATATGTCCTGATAAACATATCAATGTTTTCGTAAACAGTGTCGGTGTTTATTTTGACCCTGCACACTGGATTCAGCTCAGACAGAAAACTGCTAACATCTATACAGAACATCAAATCTCAGTTTAGTAAAGTAACAGTAAGAAATATTGAAACTGGTATTCAGTAAATTTACACATTGTGAAACAGAAACTGTTACCAAATTATTAGTTTTTTGCCGCAAAAAAACATTTTATTAGATTCTTATCTCTCATGGTGTGTGCAGAGCTCATAAAGTGGGCAGCCTTCTCTGCGCTTAAAGGACTGGCCGAAGCGCATTGTGCAAAATTAGAAAAATGATGCTGCATGTTTTCCCTGTGCTCATCACTGAGCTCCACTCGGTGAAAATCCACATCTTCAATGAAATAATGTGTTTGAAAGAGCAGCTGTGAATTTTTATTCAGTGTTCAGTGTGAAAGCAGCTTAAAACTGCGTTGCGTGCCCACCATCTGCCTTTACCATGGTAAAATCACACAGGCTCTCGCATATTATTGCTCTAATATGTCAGCGCTGCTGTCTTGTCATAAAAATCATGGGCAGGCTTTATCCTGAGTATCTTATAAATGGTCCTTTTTTCCGTTAATGCGTAATTTGTATTTTTTTTTACTATTTTTTTTCAGTATAAAAAAGGCTTTACACACACATTTCATGCAGCAACTTTGATAAATAGAGCAGCAACAATTCGTTCAATTCATATTAACAGAATAAGAACTTACAAAAACTATCCTGGGGTAACCGAGAAAAAAATAAAAAAGACACAAGGCATTAATATTCACAATACAAACTTAATAATGAGCACAGTTTAAGGCTCATGTGTCGAACACAAGGCCCGCGGGCCAAGTTGGGCCTGTGGCACAGTCCTATTCAGCCTGCAAAATTATTTTAATTTTCAATTCTTATTAGCCCACTTCACCCTGAGATGATGTATAGGTCAGCGTATACCATAATGAAAGGATGCCTGGTGTCTAGTTCAAGCAAATAAGCCATTTTAAAAACACTACCTAAAACAATTCGATTTTATTATGAATTATTCTTGAATAAGTATTCAATGCCTATTTTGCTGTTGCAGTTTTGTCATATTTTTAATAAATAATGGCCCTTCGGGTCATGGCAAAATCTTCAGTAAAAATGAAATAAAAGCACAGCTGGCCCACAAATTTGCTGAGATTTTTAATGGGACCCTTTTAGTGGTTGAGTTTGACACCCCTGGTTTAAGGGCATTTTTACTATGCATGAAATGTAAAGATTTGTAAAACAAAGCCTAATCATTTTGGAATGCTAACTAACTGGTTAAATACCAACTAGTATTTAGCCAAAATTATAATATTTTTAACAAAAAATTCTGTCTTAGAATTATTAATATAATTACCATATTTTATGACTTTATATTTCAAGTCAGGTAATAAGGACTTTGTTTTTAGCCAAGCATAAAGATCACTCCAAAACCTTTTAGAGAGCTTGCATGAGAAAAACTGATGTTCCAATGATTCTGTGTCTTCTTCACAGAAAATGCAAGCATAACAATCTGTATTAAATATGTGTCTTAGGAATTCATTTATAGTTTTAAAATGTACTTCCTTCGCTTTGGGTAAAATAGAAAAAGACAGATATTTTGTTCAAATTTTAACAGTTTCCACTTTTGTACAGTCTCTCCTGAGTGGGGATGGAAATAATTCTGTGAATAACAAATGTCTTAAAACGCTGTTATTACATCTTTTTTCTGTAAACCTGCAACCCAAATTAGACACACTGAACAACCTTGTTCCTACAGAAGAGTAGACTAATACACCTCTCATGAACTGAATAACCCCCAGAGGAATAGTCCTAATCAGTGTAAGATACTTTTCATGAGTACAGTCAATGTTTATGTTTTTTAGGAGCTCCATGTAACTAAGGAGGTTTCTCTCACTATCCATCATATGTACCACATACCAAATACCATTTGGTATCCAATCCCCGAAGAATACAGTTCTTTTTTTGTTAAGAAGAATAAATCTGTTATTTACTGTTACCTGTCAGGCAATTGTAAATATGCACCCAATGAAGCACAAATAAGCTCCCTACTAAATGTGAAAGCGGGGTGGGAGCAGAGTGAACCCATGATTGGCAACTTTCACAGCTTACAGGCCAGTGAGCACATGGGAAAAGGAAGAAAAACAAACAGACACTGGAACGCAGGAAGTGACGGCATCGAATCAGCTCTGAAAAAACCTGCATCCATGGCCTTTCTCAATCCTGGAGTGGGTTATTGGGAGAGTCGTGAGAATTATTGGTGGGCTGGTAGGTCGGTTACTACGAGACAATGAAGAAACAGCGGAAGAATGCTCAAACTGTAAATATTACACCTAAAATATATATCTGTAGGAATGTAGGCAACCCCTGCCTCAAATGATACACCCCTGGACTGTACTTAAGACTCGTACAGTGGACAGAGACTAGATGAAGCTGAAGGTAGTTTTATTTCCCGTTCCACTTTAAATGATGTGACGGTTACGTTCAGACGCCTGTACAGACGTTAGTTTAGTGCATCAAATCATTACAGGTAGGATATAAATAAACCATAAACATGTTTCATGCCCGCAGTGGCAATAGGCTTTAGTCTAGGATGATTACGTTTAGGTATTTAAGATTTCTGTGTTGTTTTTCCTCGTCTTCGCACATCAGCTGTTTAATTTAACTTTCATGTCAACTTAATTTGGGTCTGCTTGCTATGGCAGTAACCTATATTTTTGGCTTCAATAATTAAAACGTTTATATATCTTTCAACTTTGTATGTTTAACTTTTAAAAAAATTCTCAGCTGTCTTATTTTAACCTAGTTTTGTTGTCTTCTCTGGGCAGAAGCTGAGTCTGTGGTGGGCATGCTTTATAGGAAAGGCAGTGTTGCCAGATCTTACAAGAGAAACAAACAATCAGGTCTAAGCCCAAAAGAATTGCATTTCATAAGTGACCATTTCAATAATACTGTAGAACAAAACCAAAAAATAAATAAATAAATAAATAAATGAATGAAAATGAAGGTAAAGATATTGCATATAATGAACTGGCTAAATAATTATATCAGTAAAGGCAAAAAAGAGAACTGGGTTGGGCTCTCAGAAACTGTCCTAAAATGGTCCAGTTCATACCTGCAAGTAAGGGATTACTTAATTGAAGTAGAAAATGTTTTTGACAGAGTGCCAGAGACTTGTGTTGTCCTCCAGGATTCAATTCTTGGGCCATTCTTCATTATTTATTTATACATGCTTCCTCTTGGCTAAATACTAGAAGCCTATGGAATATCTTACCATCTTACTATGCAGATAATACTCAGATCTGCTTGGCCCTCTCCCCAGACTACTATGGTCGCCTTAATGCACTTTGTAAGTGCCTTGAGCACATCACTAACTAGATGGGACAAAACTTTTTGTCCAGCTGTTTCCACCAGAGAGGTCACCAGTTCCCCAAAGAAAATATAGCTTTAAGTTTGAAAGACTTAACTGGAAAGGTTTATCTTGTCTGTCACTTTATGCATACACATAAATCTTTAACTTTTTCTCTTATTGGCTCTGAAGTGACCTTTAGTCTGGCCCTATATTAATCTGAATAAGGTAATTTGCCTTTGACCCAGTGCCCCAGAGAATTTGGATAGGGCCACTCTCACTGAGACAATAGAGGAAAGAACACTGAGCGCAGCTCACATAGAGGGTCTCACATAGAGGGTATCAGTCCTCCTCTGACAAGTGGGGCGGTTCTATTAGAGAACCTGGAAAGGTGCTGTGCTCTCCAGGGCATGGAAGCAGAGATCTTTACCAAACTGGTCCTGTTCCACTTAAGCTTCATTAGAGTTAGGAATTAGGAAGGGAGGGGAAGGGAGAGGGTTTCAGTACATGGGTATATTTTGGGATGCAGAAAGAGGAAGCTGTTGTTACCATGGCTATAGATTACAAAAAATTTGACTGAATAGCAAGGTGGACTTTTGTATGCTGTTTTTTTCTTTTCTTTTTCCTTAAAACATTTTGTGGTAAGACTGAATCGGTGTTAGTTTGGAAGGTTTTAGTCTAGCCTACCAATTTTAACATGAAAATCGTATTTCTGAAACTTAACTTTAGGTTCTTACTATGATGACCTCATGCTGTTACCATGTATACTCAACTGTCCATAGCCTGACATAGCCCAGATTTCCTGTGATCACCTTAGCCTGTTACTAGTAAACTATATTGTCTATAGCTGAGTTTTACAATGATGACTTCAGGCTGTTACCTTGTACACTAAATCGTCCTTAGCCTGACATAGCCGGCTTTTTCAATGTCTTCAGGCTTTCACCGTGAAGACTACACCATCCCTAGGTTAATATTGTTTGGGTTTAAATGATAACTTCAGGATGTTACCATGTAATGTCCACAGACTTTTATTATTAAAATGTGGTGAAAGAATAAACAATGCATGAAATAATTTTAAAACATTACATAAAGTACATAACAAATCCAAACTGAATACAGAATAACTGAACATGAGAAGGAAAACTACAGCCATGTAAAATATTTTCCATACCCATTGTATTTTTAAACCAGTGCAACCATGTGAATTTTGCATTAAAAAAAAACAACGTGGTTGGGACGCTGCCACTCTCACAGCTACAGTGCTGATTTCTAGAGTAAGTTTAGTAAATTCTGTCAACATTTCCACTGGTTTGAGAGGGTTGATGTTGTTACCCGGAGTCCATGTGCTTTGGGAGAGGAGAAGCACCTTGTGTTCCTCTACAAATGTGGGGTCAATCTCAAATATGAGGAGGTTAACAGATGTACAAGTATTGGTGGTTTTCAGATGCTGTAAAACATTACATAAAACAAAATGTCACAGTCACAAACAGACTCAACACCATCACACACACATAAGACAGAACAATGGGATCTGATTCCGAAAGCCAACAAACATCTCTCTCTCTCTCTCTCCCTCCCTCTCTTCTTATGCTCAGATTATAAATTCAAATATTCATAAAAACCAGCAACACTATACAAACGCTACAGAAACAAAACTCTCTTGCTCCGTTTCCAGCTGGTGAACAAAGACTGAGCTCGAGATCATCTAGATTAACTTTCACTGGGTGAATGTCTGTATGGACTATGAGCTTGATTCAGTACTAATCAGCAAAAGATCTGATATGTTCAAATAGGAATTTTCACAAGTTCATATTATGGAATCCTGTCTTAATTTAGGAATCACACACGACATCTTAAATAAAGACAATGAAACTGGAATCTCTAAAAGCTCATCCTCTAGCAAGCAAATGAAGAACTCCTCATAACAAACCTGCAGTCAGAATGGTGCAGGCAGTATATCAGTCAGTTTTACTGGGCTAGGAGATGGTGAAAAGGTGTAACTAAGGAATGTGCAAATTAATGATTTTACTAGTTTGCAGACTTTTTTTACATCTTTTGGGTGGATGTTAAACATGTCAGTGTAAACAGTAAGCAAACCACAACAAAAATGCAACACTATCATTTTCAGCTTTGGTCCAGACCAAGAGAACTGAAATACAAGTATAAATTCACCCTTACACACATTCTTTGTTTCTCACTTAAACACACACAGAAATATGTATGTGTGCATCTCTGTGTGTGTGTGTTTGTATGCAAAATCACAGCAGGTCAGTAACTTACTCTAGTTTCTCCAGTTTATAGTGAGGATCCTGCAGTAGAGCAGAAAGCATCTGCAACCCTGACTCTCCTGGTTGATTCCAATCCAGATCCAGCTCTCTCAAGTGTGAGGGGTTTGATTTCAGAGCTCTAACCAGAGATACACACCCTGTCTCTGTAATACTGCAGTTACATAATCTGTAGAGATGGAGAAAACTTCCTCACAATTACAGTTCAACACACAACTACATATATAATTTATACAAAGACCATCATCTCACACACATGCAATCAAAGAGAAAAAAAAAACAACATATTACAACACTACACAATTCTATTCATTCTCTATCTCCTGTAAGTGCAAGAGGCAGAAACATAAAATGGATGGACATTTTCCTGTCAGAGGTTTGCATTTGTGTGAAAGACACAAAGTAGTTGACAATGTGTTTATGTAGAAATGTAACTTCTGGCTCTTTTATTATTTTCTTTTATTCTTAAGAACAGAATAATAACTATACAGAAAATAACCTCTCCTTTGTGGTACTTCAACAGGTGTGTCCCCAACATCATATTAAATAAACTCATTGGCATTTATTCATCAGAACTGTGTATGGTCAAATCTGATCGCAATATGAGCGCATGCAAATTTCACTGACAGTTTAATTTTCCATCAATTTCATCTTCAGTGTATCTGTACGATCAAACCCACATTTGCTAACTAGTTTGTCGTTAACTCTCCAAAATTATCAATATCATCTGCAATACCAATAATAAGAATAAAATCAGACAATAAAAATAATCCAGCACAAAACTGGATGTACTTGTTTTACATGCAAATTGCCAATCAAATGCAGCAACTAATCCATGTTCCATTTAAAGACAAATTGCACTTTTTTGTTATATATTACTGACACACCTAAAAAAACAGAAAACTAGTGCAGAAGATGCAAAAATACAGCATTTAAAAATATGCTTTTATTTATTTTAGGAAACCAACCTAAAAAAAAACAGTTCAACATTAAGTAAGGAAAGACCTGAAATCTTACAAACATTTGTGTGTGTGTGTGTGTGTGTGTGTGTGTGTGTGTGAGAGAGAGAGAGAGAGAGAGAGAGAGAGGGAGAGACAGAGAGAGAGAGAGAGACATAGACAGACAGAGAGAGAGTGATGCTGGTAGATACTGGTTGAATACTTTTACGGTCTACTAAAGGTTCAATATCTAAAGAAAAGGGATTCAACATGGTTAAGCAAGATTAAGCAAAGATGGCACCACGAGTGGCAGCATCAGCACAGTGCTCTCTAGTACGTTCTTTGTTTTTTTAATTTTCTGTGTGTTTGATTACTCAAACCTGATTAGTTACACAAGGATGAACTGCTTAAAATAAAGCAGTTCACTCTAGATAGTCGTTCACCAGTTTTCACAAACCCTAGGAAGTTTTTTGGAGGAACAGCAGTTTTCAGGGGGACACAGAGGAGATCCAGACAGGGGAAGCATGCCAAACTAAACTCATTGTTCATAATTATTGTCAATTTATTCATCGTGGGAGTTTTCCTCCTTTATTCTGGTCCATGTTTATATCCCACACCAAGCCAGCATGAATGACACACTGCAAGCCCTAGCCAACCAAATAACCAGCCTGGAACAAAAATATATAGACTCACTTTTTATCATATTTGAGGACTTTAACAGAGCAAAATTAAACCATGAACTACCAAAATATAGACAGCATATTATTTGTCCCACCAGGGATAATAACACACTGGACCACTGCTACACTATTCTTGAAGATGCATATTGCACTGGTCCCCGGGGAGCTTGGGGCATACTGATCTTTGTCCAAACTACAGGCAGAAACTAAAAATTGGCAAGGCCTGTAGTAAAAACAGTGAATAAATGGACCAGAGAGGCAAAGCAAGAACTGTGAGATTGTTTTGAATGTGACATCTTACACCAGTTACACCAGTGTGTGCCAACCAAGACCTTCTGCACATACAACAATAACAAGCCATGGTTCACACCCAAACTAAGACAGCTTTGTCAGGCCAAGGTAAATGCTGACAGAAGTAGAGATAGGGCCCTGTACAAACAGATCAGAAACTCACTGACAAATGAGATCAGAATGGCTAAAAGAAGCTACACTAAAAAGCTGAAAAACAGGTTTTCAGCCAACCCTGTCAACCGTGGAGACCTTCAAGTTTCCAGCAACCACCATTTTCCCAATAAAAATGATTCTGAAAGTAAAACGTGTAAATTGTTGAGCAGGCTTGACAGGCAAACAGAAGTAAAAAAAAATAAAATAAATAAATAAATAAAAATGTGTTTCGAAATCTTCCTGTTTCAGCATAACAGCGCACATTCAAAAATTGCAATGGTTTACTGAACTTTGTGTGGAAGAACTTGACTGGCCTGCTCAAAGCCTTGACCTCATCCAACACCTTTAGAATGAATTGATCTGCCAGTGGTGATCTAACAGTTAAAAGGACATCCATGAGTAACTTTTTGAAAACTCTTTCAGCTCCACAGAAGAATCAACCAAGCTTTTGTCTGAAACAGTAAAAGAGAAAGTGCCGATTTACAGAACTTCTGAAACTATTGCAATGGGCTCTATATGGTGGAAAGACAAGCATATATTTCCATATGTTCAAGATGACTATGTAAAATCTTCGTATTCCGGCAATATTTTTCCCCAGTGAGAGTATTTTCTACAGTTTGTACTTCACAGTGCAGATAAGCACTTTGTTTAGGCTTCTAACAGTTTGTGCCAGCAATGTAATGACTTTTCTCCAGCACTGCCTGTATAAGATCATTTGATCTGTTCTGTCATTGCAGCTCTTAACGATATGTTTATCACACAAACTCATACCGCAATAACAATAAAAAAGAAATTTTCCGTGCAGCCCTACTGTGGAGGTTATCTGAACAGTTGTACCTGGCATAGCATTTACACATCTGCTGCTTCTCCTACTGACAAAAACTTTTAAGTCACTTTTCAGTCAACACTCCTATGCTTTCCCTATAACCTATGAATTTTATGAACATTAAGAAAACAATTAATAATCAAGTAAATAATCTAATCTCTGTATCATTACAAAAACAACAACCCCCTGGGGGGGGCCCAGACTCACAGAGCTGATAGCAGTTAAACATTTGAGAAGTTTAAAAATGTACAATACTGTAACATGCACAGTATCGTCCACCTACAACTATTATGGTTCATATTATACATACTAAACAAAAAAATTCTTAATGCTACTGCACTAGCCAAATGGAGGAAAAACTCATTATTAAAAATCCTCAAATAAACTAGGGTGAAAAATACTTGAGTAACTGTACTTTCTTATTATACCTAACTTTTATTTTGGAACAGCAGGACTTAAGTCTGTAGGTTTGCTATTCCAAAAGAAAAGACATACTTTTTACTCTGTCCTTTACTTTCTGTCCTTCAAAGAGACACACATACACACATGCACACATAAACCAAAAATACTAGTTAGTTAAAGAGACAGAAATGTACAATTAATTAATACCTCAGTTTCTCCAGTTTACAGTGTGGATTCTCCAGTCCAGCAGAGAGCAGCGTCACTCCTGAATCCTGCAGATTATTGAAACTGAGGTCCAGCTCTCTCAGACTTGAGGTGGTTGAGCTGATAGCTAAGGAAAGAGCTGCACAGTTTTCCTTGGAGAGATCACAACCACACAGCCTGTGACAGACACGAAACAAATTTATTTCCACAAACACAACATTAGGTGAAAAAAGAGAGCTGAAGTCTTAAAAACATTTGTATTTGTGTGTTTGTCTGTCTGTCTGTGTGTGTGTGAGAGAGAGAGGTAGAAAGAGAAAGGCAATGATAATCTTTCTCTTGCATGGACACTGCATGAATATCTGTGTGGACTAGTAAAGGTTCAGTATAGAGAAAAAAGTAAGCAAATACATTATAATGTGCAAGATGTTCAGCAGGCTTGGCAGGTAAACAGAAGTAAAAATTAAAAAATAATCAACAACGTGTTTCTGACTTTTCCTGTTTCTGTATGACATTGCCCCATTCGAAAATTGCAGTCCATTAAGAAATTACCAAATAAAATCTTTGTGTTCCAGAACGATTTGTCTCCAGTGCAACTTTTTTCAACTGCAGGAAACATTGTAACTGCCCACGTTCAGAGCCAAACCATAATTGGAAAGAATCCTTACACCCCAAATGCAGATTGATCAATGTTTTGAGTTTGTTATTCACAAGAAGCATCTGCTGATATGAACCATGCCAAAAAAGAGATCTCAGATGACCTACAATCATGAACTGGTTTACATTTCTGTTCAAGAGTCACCTTTTATGCTAGCTGCATGCCATCAGCCAATGCTAAACTTTTCACACTTCCATACCAATATAAAGCATTCCAGTCATACATTTAAATACATTCTCCCTCACTTACGTAAACACACACAGACATACACCGATCAGGCATAACATTATGTCCTTGTTTCTATGCTCATTGTCCATTTTATCAGTTCCACTTACTATACAGGTGCACTTTGTAGTTCTACAATTACAGACTGTAGTCCATGTGTTTCTCTGCAGACTTTGTTAGCCCCCTTTTACCCTGTTCTTCAGTGGTCAATACCTCCATGGATCCTCACAGAGCAGGTACTATTTGGGTGGTGGATCATTCTCAGCACTGTAGTAACACTGACATGGTGGTGGTGTGTTGCGCTGGTCTGAGTGGATCAGAGTTTTCAAACATCTCAATGTCACTGCTGGACTGAGAATAGTCCACCAACCAAAAATATCCAGCCAACAGCGTCCTGTGGACAGTGTCCTGTGACCACTGATGAAGGACTAGAGGATGAACAACACAAACTGTGCAGCAGCAGATGAGCTATTGTCTCTGACTTTACATCTACAAGGTGGACTGACAAAGTAGGAGTGTCTAATAAAGTGGACAGTGAGTGGACACAGTGCTTAAAAACTCCAGCAGCAATGCTGTGTCTGATCCACTCATACCAGTACAACACACACTAACACACCACCACCACGTCAGTGTTACTGAAGTGCTGAGAATGATCCACCACCCTAATAGTACCTGCTCTGTGAGGGTCCATGTGGGTCCTGACCACTGAAGAACAAGGTAAAAGGGGGCTAACAATGTATGGAGAGAAATAGATGGACTACAGTCTGTAATTGTAGAACTACAAAGTGCACCTATATAGTAAGTGGAGCTGATAAAATGGACAATGAGCATAGAAACAAGGAGGTGGTCATAATGTTATGCCTGATCGGTGTACATATGTGTGTGAGCGTGTGTGTGAAATGACAGCAGGTCAGTAACTTACTGTAGTGTCTCCAGTTTACAGTGTGGATCCTGTAGTAGAGCAGAAAGCATCTTCACTCCTGACTCTCCTGGTTTATTCCAACCCAGATCCAGCTCTCTCAAATGTGAGGGGTTTGATTTCAGAGCTTTAACCAGAGCTGTACAACCTTTCTCTTTAATACTGCAGTGACGTAATCTACAGAGACATGAAGAAAACTTCCTCACATTTCCAGTTCAGTACACAACTACATATACAGACACTATCAAACAGGTGATCAATTAGAAAAAAATATATCACCCAAGGTCAGAACCAAAGTATAAATGGAATGAATCCTTACACAACGAAGAAGATGGTGTGATACCTTGTTTTCTTCTCCTTCAAAATACAGGTGCTGAAACCTTGGCTGATATTGCTACTGATAAAACAGTCTAACAAAAGCTAACTGGAGTCAGGAGTTAGCAAACTTGGAGTCCAGTCAATGAGATGAGATTGGAGGTCAGTAACTTACTGTAGTGTCTCCAGTTTACAGTGTGGATCCTCTAGTAGAGCAGAAAGCATCTTCACTCCTGACTCTTTTGGTTTATTCCAATCCAGATCCAGCTCTCTCAAGTGTGAGGGGTTTGATTTCAAAGCTTTAACCAGAGCTTTACAGCCTTTCTCTGTAATACCGCAGTGACGTAATCTGCAGAGATATGGAGAAAGCTTCCTCACACATACGATTCTATACACAACTACATACAATCTATATAAACACCATCATCTACAAACACATGCAATCTATAACTGTCTTATAGATAGAGAAAACATCTAACTTCTGACTCTTTTATTACAAACAAAAAATGTATAGAAAATAACCTCCACTTTGTGGTGCAATGGTACTTCAGCAGGCATTTCCCCAAAATCATATTAAATAAACTTTTATTCAACAAAACTGCATACAGTCAAATGTGTTTGCAAAATAAGCGCATGCAAATTTCACTGACAGTTTTGTTTTCCATCAATTTCATCTGTGCATATCTGTATGATCAAACTCATGTCTGCTAACTGGAATCAACATGCGAGCGGAGGTGGGGGAGGGGGTTGGTTGGTATGTTTGTGTGGGGGGGGGGTTAGAGAGGGTGGTGTCAGTTCCGTTATTCATCAATACTAGCTAAGAGAAAGTGCAAAAAGGGGGTGGAGTGTGCAGAGTTGTTTCGCTGGTTGTCCATAGACATGTGCTCACAATAAGAATGTACGGTGGGGATGGGAGGATGAGCGTGTGAGCATTGGGATGGAAAATTGTTCCGCTGGCAGCAAACAACTCTCCCCGTAAAAGAGGCCAACACCAGCCCCACAGCAAGGTGGAAGCCAATGACCCAGCAGAAATTTTGGGGTGGCAGCTGGTGTAGCCAATCAGATTTTAGGGAAGGCCTTGGCCACTCTGGCCACCCTTTTAGAACCGTGCATGACTGTGGGGTGTATCAGGAATGGACAGGAGGAGGAATACAGGAAGCTGGTGAAGGACTTTGTTGAGTGGTGTAAGCTGAACCAGCTGCAGCTAAACATCAGCAAGATTAAAGAGATGGTGCAGGACTTTAGGAAACCTGCCTTGTCAACAGTCAACATCAATGGAGTAGATGTGGAGATGGTGGGGACCTACAAATATCTGGGTGTGCACTTGGACAACAAACTGGATTGGAACTGTAACACCCATGCTGAATACAAGAGAGGCCAAATCTGTTTCTACTTCCTGAGAAAGCAGTGGTCTTTCAGTGTGTGCACAAAGCTCCTATGGACATTTTACCAGTCTGTTGTAGCAAGTGCTATATGCTATGCTGTTGTGTGCTGGGGAAATAGCATTAACAAAAGTGCTCTAAACAAATTGAACAAACTTATTAGGAAGGCTGGCTTTGTTGTAGGAGTCAAACTGGACTCTCTGGAGGTTGTGGCAGGACAAAGCTGTTAGCCACTTTGGACAATACCTCAAATGCCCTGCAAACCGTACTCAAAAAACAGAAGCACATTCAGTGGCAAACTGTTACAGCTGCACTGTGTTAAAGAGCTCTGTGTAAGATCTTTCTTACCCACTCCTATAAGGCTTTACAACAAGTCTCCTTACTGTAGAGATGGTACTGATCGCCTGAACTGCGCTGAATCACATCACTATATTCAGACTATTATTAATACACACTGTGCAATTTATCATAATCTGCTACTGTAATGACACTTGCACTACACACTTTAGACTGTTGCTACTCCTAGTTATGTTTATACTCACTATGTATTAAAGTACTTCATGCCATTTCCCTAATAGCCAGAGGACAGTGTGCCACTGTTGGCCTGCTGATGGCAAAGCTGGCGGTCCACTGGTGTTTTCCTCTGCATATTCCGGCCAGCCCACCGGTAGTTAAGCAGAGTATTATCCTTTATTATCCTTTAAAACTAGACTTAAAACTTATCTGTTTGCACAAGCATTTTGCTAATATCAGTTGTTGCACGATTACTTACTAATATCTCTCCATAAACTGACCTGTCCTGTTAATCAATTTCTCTCGCTCCCTCCCTCCCTTTATTTGAGCCTCTGAGCCTAAGTCGCCACATGGGAGCCACCAGAGCTGCTGGAGTAACCAGAGCTCCGTATCCATTGAGTGATTTGCACTGTTTTGACCACCATGGAGTTTCATGCTGCACAAAACTGTGCAAACCTCACCTGCATGAACTGACCATCCTGCTGCTGCTGCATAAACTCAAGCTATCTAATTAACCATTGCTCCACCTGTTTTTCCCCGTTTTTGTATTCTAATATTTTATACTAATTATGTTTGCTATCTGGTGTCAACCAGAGGAGGATGGGTTCCCCTTTTGAGTCTTGGTTCCTCTCAAGGTTTCTTCCTCTTGCTCTTAGGGAGTTTTTCCTTGCCACTGTCGCCATTGGCGACGCTCATGGGGGCTTGGACTTGGATTTTTCTGTAAAGCTTTTTGCAACACCTGTTGTAAAAAGCACTATATAAATAAACTTTGACTTGACTTTGACTATTAGACACAATTGCAATTATCATCACTCATTTTCCACTCACAGTCCAGTTTACTTATTTTTCTTTTATTTGTTTCTTTAGTTATACTTTGTAAATTAGATCATTTTAGTCTAGCACAGTGTCAGCAACAACATTTTCTATTAAATCATTTTATATCAGGCCTAGTCATTATTTTTTTTTCTCTCTGTTGTTTGTAATGTTTGTCTTAAGTTTATTTTCTAAAATAAAAGGCTATGTGTATTTAAAATCTGTTTGAGGAGATAAAAAACTAGCTAAATCTTGTATCAGTACAATAATCTGGGTGGTCCAAGGGTTGACCAACAGTGGCAAACTGTCAGTTGAGTGCTGACCTTATCAAGCCAGTGGACCGATATATGCTCACTATCTGGGTTAAAGCAATACCTGCCCTCATGTAAATGTAACAAATCAGTCTTATATCCTTATGTAAATATCCTAATAGATATACTAATATTTCTAGTCTCTCATATTCTGCTCTAATTTAGGTCTATTTTTATTTCTGCCCAATGTATGTGAGTTTATGTACAAATACATGTCTGGCTACTGTAAAGCTGCAATTTAATGTAATCTAAAATCTATTTAAATTTGTCTTTTCACATTTGTGCACACCACTGCCACTTCAACTCTTCCATATTTTCAGCCTTCAAATCAACAAATTACATGTGTTCTCAAAGGGGACACTGGCACTATTACACTTCGTTATATCAAACATCACCGGCCCATACAAACAGTAATGTGCACAACTCAGAGACCACCTTATTTACATAATTCCCAATCAAAGTAGCCATTAGGTACAATTTCTTCATTTTCAGGAGATATTTCTGAGAAGATTAGACAAAGGATTTTCAATTTGCAGTAAGTATGAACGTCAAAGGCAAACTGGTGAAAAAAAGTTTTTCCAAAACTGGAGTTATTGAAAGATATTGAGGAAAAAGAAATAGACTCCAAAGTTTAGGGTTATGTTGCAATCAGGTGTGTATCACCTTTTATGCTAGCAGTATGCCATCAGCCAATGGTAAACCTTCCATATATATTTTCATACCAATACAGAGTATTTGCAGTTGGGGATATTTAGATGTGAATCCAAAGAGATTACTGCTAATCCCTACTCCACACACACTCATACACATACATACATTCTGACATATGGCAAGTCATTAACTTACTGTAGTTTCTCCAGTTTACAATGTGGATCCTCTAGCAGAGCAGAAAGCATCTTCACTCCTGACTCTCCTGGTTCATTGTCATCCAGATCCAGCTCTCTCAAGTGTGAGGGGTTTGATTTCAGAGCTTTAACCAGAGCTATACAACCTTTCTCTTTAAAACTGCAGTGATGTATCCTGTAGAGAGATAGAGAAAACATCCTCTCATTTACAGTACAGTACACAACTACATATAATATCCATACAAACACCATCATCTTACACTCACGCAATCAATAGGAAAAAAACATATCACAATTCACAATTCTATTTATTCTCTATCTATGATGCTCTCTCATGTAAACAAACATACCAAAAAAAGGAGAGAAAAAATGAAGTGCAAGAAGCAGAAATGTAAAACAGATGAATATTTTTGTGTGGGAGATTTGAATTTGTTTGAGAGACATGAAAAACTGTACAGAATAGAACCTTGCCTTTGTGGTGTAATGGTACTTCAGCAGGAGTGTCCCCATCATCACATTAAATAAACTCAATGGCATATATTCATCAAAGCTGCATACAGTCAAATCTGACAGCAATATGAGCGCACGCCAGTTTCACAGACTTTGTTATTCATCAATTTCATCTTTGGTGTATGTGTATGATCAAACTCACGTTTGCTAACTTGTTTGCAGCTAACTCACCCAAACTATTACTAATATCATCTGCAATAACAATACTAAGCATAAAATCAGAAAATAACAATATTACTAATAATTTGTTAACATGGCAATCCAGTGCAAAACTGTATGTACTTAATTTCCGTGTACATTCCGTGACCAATAAATACAGCAACTATTCCATGCCCCATTTAAAGACATTACATTTTTTTGTTATGTACTACTAACACAAATAAAAAAAATAAACAACACAAAACTAATGCAGATGCTGCAATAAACAGCAATTTAAAATGTTATTCTGTCAGAAAAACAGTTCAATTTTAGATGAGAAAAAGAGCTGAAGTCTTGTGTTATGTGTACGTGAGAGACACAGAGAGAGAGAGAAAGAGAAAGAAAGAGGCCATGATGATAATCTCGCTCTGGCACAGACACTGGTTGAATACCTGTAAGGTCTAGTAAAGGCTCAGTATCTAGAGAAAAGAGACAGAAGACGGTAAAAAGTTGTTCAGCAGCATTGACAGGTACAACAATGCATAGATAGATAGATAGATAGATAGATAGATAAATAGATAGATAGATAGATGTGTTTAATTTTTTTCCAATTCGAGAATTGCATTCCATAAAGAAATCGTTTGCTAAACTTGGTGTTGAAGTTTTTGACTGGTCTGCTCAAAGTCTTGACCTCAGTGCCACTTAACAACTCCATGATGAATTAGTTGATCTGCCAGTTGAAAGAACATACATGAGTGAATTTTTTTTAGCATCACAGAAGCATCAACCTAAAAAGAGGAGGTGCTAATGTATAGAGATGGCATGATACCATGCTTTCTTTTCCTTTACAATAAGATGCTGAAACCGATGTTGCTAATGATCTCAGCAAAAGAGTCCAACTGGTGTCCAATCAATAAAATGAGATTGGAGGTGTCGGTTAGAGCTACACTGACAAACATTGGAATTTGTTATTTACAAGAAGAATCTTCTGTTGTGGCCAACGCCAAAAAAGAAATACCTGAAGACCTTTGATCAATAATTGGTGATTTGCATAAAGCTGAAGAGGGGTTACAATTTATCTCAAAGGGTTTAGATTGTAATCAGTCTAGTTAGATAAACTGTTCATATATGGAGATGATTAAGTAAGGGGTCTACTCTACCTAGAAGCGGGCGCCGGGCCAAGATCACTTCAAGGCACAACACAGAATGGGCAATCAAGTAAAAAATAACCCTAGAGTAACAGCTAAAGGCTTGAAGGAATCATTAAAACTGGTTTACATCTCTGTTCAAGAGATGAAAAACATTAAACAGGCATGGTGTTCATGGTAGGACAGCAAGGAGGAAGGGGCTGCTCACTATGGAGTAAAAAGAACACTGCATACCAACATGAAAACATCCCAATGGTGAAGTTTGGCGAACAAATCGTAAACATCTGAAAGATTATCATTGCTCGTGTGTTATTAGCTTTAAAACATTGTGTTTGTCTATAATTGTGATTTAGATGAAGCAGAGATCACATTTTATGACCAAGTAATGCAGAAAACTGCATAATTTCAAAGCATTCACATGCTTTTTCTTGCCATTGTATGAAAAACAATAATAATTGGAGATTGTTTAGGGAAAGACTACAATTTGTGCTGTAGAGATGGTCTGTGCTGAGGCTGAACTGGAGCTGTTGATTTATCTGACAATTTTTTTGAAAACCTTGATCAGCTGCTGCCTTGCCTACTGTGAGGGTTATCTTGTGCTAAGCCAGGCTTACAGTAAAATCATATGTTTGAGTATGCTGCTATTGTAAAAAGCACTGTATTAACTTAAACATTTGAGAGGTTTAAAATTATACAATATTGTATCATAGATAGAACTGTCTCCCTCCTACAACTATTACGGATCATATTCGAAATACTAAACAAAGAAATTCTTAGCACTGTTGCACCAGCCAAATGGAAGAAAAACTCATTCATAAAACCTCTTGAATAAACAGGAGTGAAGAATCATTCAGTAACTGTACTTCATTATTAAACTGAAGTATTATTTTGGAAGACTTGGACTTTACTCCAGTTTTGTCTAAAACTGAATTACTGAACTTTTGAATTTCCAAAAGAAAAAAATAAAATTACTAAAAGTGCATATAAACATCATGTCTGTCTGTCCTTCAAACACATAAACATACACACACATGAACACATAAACAAAAAAAAATAGCAACAGATGTAAACAATGTTAAGGAGGCAGGAATGTACAAGGAATTAATACCTCAAGATCTCCAGTTTACAGTGTGGATTCTCCAGTCCAGCAGAGAGCAGCTTCACTCCTGAATCATTCAGATCATTCAAACTGAGGTCCAGTTCTCTCAGACTAGAGGTAGTTGAGCTGAGAGCTGAGGCCAGAGCTGCACAGCTTCTCTTTGAGAGTTTACAACCACACAGCCTGTGACAGAAATTATATCAGACACACTGGCATTACATCCCACATCTACAAACAAACACACCAAGCAGGTCAGTATGTACATTAGGAAAATAAAAAAACAAGCAAAACATACACATTTCCACAAAAATCATCTCCTCACAAAAAACACAGTTCATCATCAGGTAAGAAAAAGATCATCTGTGTGTGTGAATGTGAAAGTCTGTGTGAGAGAGAGAGCGAGGGTGGGGAGGGGGGTAATGATACTAATTTCTCTCGGGCATGGACCCTGACTGAATAGCTGTGTGGATTAGTAAAAGTTCAGTATCTAGATAAAAAAGCTCAAAGACGGCAAAGTACAAGTTGTTCAGCAAGCTTGGCACTTAAATAGGTGTAAAATAAATACAAACAAACAAGCAAATAAATAATAAATAAATATGTTTCTAACTTTTCAGCACAACAGTGCCCAATTCTGCAATCAATAAAGAAATGATTTGCTGAATTTTGTGTGGAATAACTTGACTGGCCTGCTCAAAGCCTTGAACTCAACCCCATCCATTGCCTTTGAATTAGATGATCTGCCAGTGGTGATCCAACAACTGTAAGAACATCCATGAGAACTTTCTGAAAACTTTTCAGCACCACAGAAGCATCAACCAAGCTTTTGTCTGAAACAGTAAAAGAGGAGGTGCTGATGTACAGAAATTCTGAAACTACTGCTATGAGCTCTATATGGTGGAAGGACAAGCTCAGATATCCCCATCTGTCCAAGATGACCAAGTAAAATCTTTTTTTTCCAGCAACATTTGTCCCAAGTAAGATTTTTTTCAGCTGCAGGAAACAATCTACCATGATCAGAAATGAACCATGAGTGGGATGAATCCTTACACACCAAACAGAGATGGCACAGATGTCTTCTTTTCCTTCACAATACAGGTGTTGAATCATTGGTTGATACTGATAAAACAGGCTAATGACTTCAAATAAAAGCTATTTAGAGTCAGGAGTTAGCAAAGCTGAAGTCCAATCAATGAAATGAGATCAGAGGTGTGGATTGGAGTTACTTTGACTCAAACAGTTTGAGTTTGCTACTCACAAGAAACATCTGCTGACATGAATCATGCCAAAAAAAAAAAAGAGATCTCAGATGACCTACGATCGATAATTGGTGATTTGTATAAAACTGAAGAGGGTTGCAAAGTAATTCCAAAGGATTTAGGTATTTATCAGTCTCCAGATAGATAAACAGTCTACTTTCTCTGGAAGTAGGTGCTATAGGCTTGAAGGAATCATTAAAACTGGTTTACAACTCTGTTCAAAAGTTTACCACAAAAAGAACTTTGAACAGACATGGTGTCTATGGCAGGAGACCAAAGAGAAAGCTGCTGTTCGCTATGAAGTAAAAAGGACATTGCATACCAACATGAAAACACTTTCGTAACAGTGAGGTATGGCGGCGGGAGCATCATGATTTGGTGCTGCTTTGTTGCCTCTGGACCTAAACTGATTGAAATCACTGAGGGGAAAACTGAATTCCCAAGTTTATCAAGGTATCCTGCAGTTCAAGTCTTGGATTTTTAATGTTGTGCAGGTCTGATCTGGAGCTACTGAAAGCACTTACAAGAGGTTACTGCTGTCAAACAAGGTTTGACCAGTCATTAAATCCAAGAGTTCATGGACTTTTTCCACCAGCTCTATGAATGTTTAAATGATGTGCACAGTAAAAACATGAAAGATTATCATTGTTTGTGTGTTATTCACTTCAGCACATTGTGTTTCTCTATACTTGTGACTTAGATGAAGCAGAGATCACATTTTATGACCAGTTAATACAGAAAACTGGGTAATATCAAAAGGATTCACCTATTTTTCCAGCACTGTATGAAAAATTATAATAATTGGGGGTTGTATAAAGAAAGAATACAATTTATAGACAAGGTTTATGTGTCCTGTAGAGATGGTCTGCACTAAAGCTGAGCTGGAGCTGTTGGTTTATCTGATAATTTTTTGAATACACTGATCAGTTGTTGATTTGCCTTCTGTGAGGGTTATCTTAGTGACCACATCTGGCTTAGCATTTACACATCTGCTGCTTTTACTACTGACATTTATAGTCAGTTTTCAGTCAACATTCTCATGCTTTCTCTTTAACCAGTTCAATTTTTTAAACATTATGAAATCAATTAATAATCTTGTGACGAATCTAATCTCTCTACCATTACAAAAACAACAGCCCCTCCCACAGAGCTCACAGAGCTGATAGCAGTTGAAATTTGCTGCACTGGAGGGCAAAACATTACAAACACTTCTGATCTGAGATCTTATTTATTTTCTTTTATTTTCTGTTTTCTTTTTTTTTTTCTTTTTTATTGTTTTGATCCTTCCATAAACCGCTTTTTTGGAAAGCTGCTTTGAGACAACTCTAGTTGTAAAAAGCGCTATACAAATAAATGTTGTTGTTGTTGCTTTGCATGTAAACAGATTAAAAATGTGTTTCCAACTATTGACACTAGTGACAATTCCCATTTTGAAAATTGCAGTGCATAATGAAATGGTTCGCTGAATTTGGTGTGGAAGAACTTGACTAGCCTGCCCAAAGCTTTGACCTCAACCCCATCCAACACCTTTAAGATGAACCACGCTTTTGTCTGAAACAAAAAAATCTGAAACTGTTGCTATGGGCTCTATATAGTGAAAAGACAAGCACAGATATTCCCATCTGTCCAAGCTGACCAAGTAAAATCTTTTTGTTACAGCAACATTTGTCCCAAGTGAGATTTTTTTTTTCAATTACATGAAACACTATAATTGCCAAGTCTATCATGGTTCATATTCTAAATACTAAACATACTTTTTTAACACTGTGGCTCCAGCCAAATGGAAGAAAAACTCATAAAATTTTATTCATAAAAATACTTGAAAAAACAAGGGTGAAGAATGCTTGAGTAATTGTACTTCATTGCTATCCTTAAGCATACTTCTCAACTCCAGTTTTATTGAAATTAGTTACCTTTTCTTTATATTTCCAAAAGAAAAGAATACATTTCACTCTTTACATTTTCAATGACACCTTCAAAGTACAAATATCAAAAAGAATGATTTTTTGTGTCTCTTGCCAATAAATCAAATTACAGATTTTACATTGATATTTTTCTTTTTTGATTTAAACATCCAACCAAATTTATATTAGTGTTAAGCAGAAAACTACTAAAAACAACGTTTTTTTCTCTGTACTTTTTAGACTGACTAAACACACCCTTTAGAAAAAAACTGGAAATGGAGGATATTCATTTTGCAGATACAATATAAAAGACCAGAGCAGATCTTCACCTAACAGAATAAAAATATCCAGTCATACCTAATAAGAAACATAATAAAAAAAAAAGTCCCTATTTCTTCACTAGAGACCTGTTTATTAGGTCTGTCTTCTCAGCTAATTTGTCTTTAATTTGTCTGTTCTGTCTTCTAAAGTAAAATAACTTTTTAGTGTTGAGATAATGACTGGATTTGAAGTGTACCTGGATACAGGTTTAGAAAGGGCTGGACAGGTAAGGGTTGCAAGAAATGTTGCTTGACAGGAGTGCTTTTCCATTCTGCACCAGGCCAGCTCACTGTAATACTGCCAAGCTAAAAGTTTTTGAAGATTGACTGCCTAATAATAGTACATAAAATTAAATTCCATTGAGTTCCAGTCCTCCATTTTGCCTATGACCTTGGAGAATAGACTTCTTTATCCATGGTTGTTTATGCTCATATAAAAGTTAAAATGATCTTGTCAAGTGATATAAAAATATTTGGGTAAAAAGAGGGAGATATAGTGGAAAAAATAAAAAAAATCCGGGGATGTTTACAACTAATTTGGAGTTTGCAACTAACTGCCCCTTTCTATGATTCTGCCAGTCACAGAGAGGAGCAACTCCCAGCAACAAATTTTATAAGATCAACTGACCAAGTCTGTAATATTAATACTTATGTAACCAGTGGATGCTGATCTGAAAGAAATAGACCCTGGCATTATCTGTTTTTTGGTAAGGAATTAAGTGGGAAGCATTCACTTTACTTTAGCTTGTATCGGAAGAATAAGCCAAAGTTTTTCACGATATTCACTGCGCTGTGGGCACAGGCAGTAGGGTCCCTCACATAAAGCAATAAGTCATCAGTAGAGTGAGACAGAATGGTTAGGAAGAGATGTATACACTGGCTACTTCAGGTCCTGAAAATATGGTGCTTTTGTTTCTTGCAATTCAGTTTTCCAGAAACACTGGTGAGCATGTATATTATCACCAGACCCTGCTTAATACCAGAAAACATGGACTGTTGGAGGTCCTGTGCGATCGTGGGCTGCTTCAAGAACTAGGCCTCAGGAGCACAGGACAGCGTGACCCTGCCTGCTGGGAGCGGATGCATCGAAGACGGCGTGCCAGAAAGCGGAAATGTGGTAAACTCTCTGGATTTAAGCTAGGCTAAAACCTAACCCTAGCTGCCTGGCTCTACTATCTCTTCCCCTCTCCAACGTCTGCGTTCTTGACATTGAACTGGACCACCTCAGAATATAGCTAACTTCCTAGCTCCAAGCAGTTGTCCCAGAGTGCTTCACAACAACTACCATGATTCCTGTGCTCAAAAAATCTGCTATATCTCGCCTAAATGACTACCAGGCCTGTAGCACTCACTCCAGTCATCATGAAGTACTTCAAGCGGTTGGTAATGAAACATATAAAGACCTTCCACACTGTATCCACTTCAGTTTGTGAACTGCTCTAACTGGGCTACAGAGGATGCCACATCCTCCGCCATTCACCTTGACTCACCTGAACAATCAAGACAATAATGTGAGCATGATGTTCACAGACTTTAGCTCAGCACTCAACACAATCATACTACAGCAACTTATTGGAAAGCTGAGCTTGCTGGGCCTGAACACCTCTCTCTGCAACTGAATCAGGGATGTCCTGATTGGGAGGTCTCAGTCTGTCAGGACTGGCAAGACTACTTACAGCACCAACACATTGAACACAGGTGCTCCCCAGGGCTGTTTGCTCAGTCGCCTTCTATTCACACTGCTGATTCATGACTGTGCTTAGCTCACATCATCCTCCTCACTACTTTGTACAGGGAAACAATAGAGAGTGCCCTGACTAGCTGTCTTATTGTCTGGTGTGGGCATTACACTGGAAAAAAGATTTGGTATAAAAAACATCACAATTGCCTTTATTCATGTTGAAATCTGGTAGCAGCTCATAATTCGTCCAGTTTATTTTTAAGTGATTAGACATTGCCAAAAACCACAGAAGAAAGGGGAGGTCTGTGGGGTCTGCGGGGTTTGTAAAGAAGTTGCTGCCTAATCCCACCTCGCCTACCCCTCTAAAGGTTACATATGGGTGCTATTAGCATGATCTTTAATACTTTTGATGTTAAAGTAAACAACCACAACTTTCCCCACCAGGTCCAGCAGGATTCAATTAAATGCATCCCCCCCAGATGTTAAAGAACTGTTTGTTGGCCTTGATCAAATAATAACAAAATACCAAAGTAGCTTATTGGTAGTTTTTGGTAGTTAAGAAAACTCCTGTTAATACCATCCGGCCTCTGTCCAACATCCAGTCATCATAAACCTCACACCCACTCCTAATTAACTTTTTACCCATCCCCCCTGTGCCAATTGTTTATACACCCTCTCGTACCCTTCTAAACATACAGTTTATCAATCTGTTTGTTCAACCACGCTTCATTCCTTTCATACTATTAGCACTGTTACTGTTCTACCCCTTTTTCCTCATCACACTTCATCAGGTTCTCCTTTCCTGAGCCCATCATAAAACTTCTAACTTAGTTACCGAAGTCAAAATTCAACTGTATATTCCTATTCAAGCCTTGTTCAAAAATGTAGTTTGTAAGACAAACTGTGCAAAAAAATATATGAATGTCTGTCTTTGCTAGATGACGGGAGGCACGGTGGTGCAGTGGGTAGCGCTGTCGCCTCACAGCAAGAAGGGCCTGGGTTCAATTCCTGACTGGGCGACCAGGGTCATTTCTGTGTGGAGTCTGCACGGGTTTCCTCCCACAGTCCAAAGACATGCAGTCAGGCCAATTGGACATGCTAAATTGCCCCTAGGTTCGAATGTGTATGTCTGTCTGTCTGCCCTGCGATGGACTGCCGACCTGTCCAGGGTGTATCCTGCCTTCCGCCCAATGACAGTTGGGATAGGCTCCAGCACCCCACCGTTACCCAGTAGGATAAGCGGTTTAGATGATGTGTGTGTGTGTGTGTGTGTGTCTTTGCTAGATAATGTTTGTTAACTATCAAATAAATAAAAAAACAGAGAAATCATGTCATAGCAGAGAAGAGCAGACTGACTTGCAGAAATTTTATGATTGGGTAAGGGTTGTGCAGTGGCTCCTTATCCTGATTCTGAATACACTGTCCTAAACGTTTTCAACATAATTCATTGCAAAAACTAAAACATATTCAGAAAACATAAAATCAGACTACATCTTGATAAGGCACAAGGGGAAAACTCTGCTGTTGTAATTTTCACTTCTTTTACTCTGTTCCTTGCTGTTACTAGTTGGCACTTTTCCTGTAAGTCTTCTGTTAATTTTGCTTATTATTTTAATGAAGTTCTGAAACTCTCTACTATGTTTCTACTCTCACTGCCTGCTTCAGCTCGCTGTGGTTCCCTCAGCTCACCCAAGCAGGACTCCCACCTTTCTAATTATGTATTGTTTTGATCAAAGCACAAGGAAATACACAAAAAAAACCAATATACTGATGTCTTTTGTTTCACATGCCTCTTAAATTTTTTCACATTAAGTGGAGCAGTTTGTGTGCTGGAATGGGATAGTGCTTTAAGCTTATATGAAACATCTGCAAAAGCCTAATAGCCTTAGACAAAGCATTTCATCACATTAAGCTGACTGAACCACAGGTATCTTTCCTTACTCAGTGTTGTTCCAATGATGCTCCAATATTCTAACACACCACCTTTCATTTTGTCCTCACACCAGTGATTGAGATTTAAAATAGTTAAAAAGCAAGTAATGATGGTGTTACTTTTAAAAACGTTTTTTATTATTTGGTGGTTAAATAATCCAAAAGTATCTTAAAAGCCTAAAAAAGGTAACTGCATTCTAAATATTACCTTTTCAAAATGTAACATGATATTTCTAATACTTGTATTCTGTTACATTACAACCCTGCACATTTTAGTTTCTCCACATCCACTTCAATTCAGTAAGGTCTTCTTAATTAGGACAGGGGTATCTGAATTGCATTCTCCTAAAATCATGGAATACATTATTTCTAAAATTAGTTTTGAAAAAAACAGTACAGTAAAATATGTATTAATGAAAATACTCACTTAGCTTTTCTGGATGCTGTAACAACTGGCAGAAGCCTCAGAAGACATTCCTCTGATCGGCCATATTTTGTCAGGTCAAACTCGTCCAGCTCTTCCTCTGCGTTCAACAACACAAACACCAGAGCTGACCACTGAGCAGGAGAGAGGGTTACTCCAGATAGACAGCAATAGTTTCCTCTGTTCAGGTATGTTTGGACTTCCTGCACTACAGAGTGGTCATTTAGTTCATTCAAACAGTAGAACAGATTGATGCATTTCTCTGGAGAGAGATTCTCCCTGAGCTTCTCCTTGATGTACTTAATTATTCCCTCTCTGCAATTAGAAGTGCTTGATATCTGTGGTAGTTTGATAAAATCAGTCATTGTTGATTTTAAATTTGTTTGTTGTTCCACATTTCTGTTCTGAGAAATAAAGGAGAAAAATACATATAAAGCAGCCAGAAACTCAGATCACTGATCACTCAGATGGACAAAGCAGTACACTTTAGCCACATGCTTCCCAAACTCCTCTCTGAAGATCTGAGTGCAGACTCCTGAGTACACTGACACTTCTCTGACATCAATGCCACACTCTCTCAGGTCTTCCTCATAGAAGATCAGGTTGCCTTTTTCCAGCTGTTGGAAAGCCAGTTTTCCCAGAGCCAAGATCATCTTTCTAATTGCCTCGTGATAAATGTCACTTCCTCTTTGGTACTTGTTGTTGTCTTGTTTGATCTGAAAAATCAGGAAGTGTGTGAATATTACAGTCAGAGTCTTGGGGATCTCTCCATTCTCTGCTTCACCCAACATCTTCTCTAGAACAGTGGCTGCAATCCAACAAAAGAGGGGAATGTGGCACATGATGTAGAGGCTTCTTGATGACTTCAGTCGTGTGATGATTCCGTTGGCCAGACTCTGGTCACTGACCCTCTTCCTGAAGTATTCCTCTTTCTGAAAGTCACTGAATCCCCGTACCTGTGTTACTTGGTCAACCAAATCAGGAGGGTTCTGACCACATGCTGCTGGTCGAGAGGTGATCCAGAGAAGAGCAGAGGGAAGCAGATTCCCTTTGATGACGTTTGTTAGCAGCACATCCACTGAGGCTGACTGTGTTACATCAGATAAGCTCTCATTGTTCTGGAAATCTAGAGGAAGTCGACTTTCATCCAGACCATCCAAGATGAACAAGACTTTGAAGTAACCATAGTCTCTGAATTGTAATTCTTTTGTGTCTGTGAAAAAGCGATGAAGAAGATCAGCTAGAACGAACTTCTGCACTGAGATTGTTTTTCCAATTCCAGCAACTCCATTAGTCAGTACAGTTCTGACGGCTGTGTCTTTAAAGAGGTCATTGCAGTTGATGGTTGTCTCCTGTGTTGCTGGTCTCCTGGATCCTGTTTCAATCTGTCTCACCTCATGTTCATTATTGACCTCTACACTCCGACCTTCTGTGATGCAGAGCTCTGTGTAGATCTCATTCAGAAGTGTTGAGATTCTGTGATTCATTCATTTTCTGGAATTCTTGTTTCAGTGTTGATTTGAGCAATTACAATAAACATGTTAATGTCTGACATCCTTACCACAAACACAATAAGACACATTACCCTTCTCTGTGGTATTCCTGTCTAGGTACCATCATCACGATTAAATATCCAAAATTAATTCAGATAACAAAAGAACACCTTCTTGCGCTTTCCTCATGGAGAAATTCCTTCTAGATTATTTATCTTTCTACACGTTCTATGCTCAGTTTACTTGATACTCGTAAAAATAATAAACTTTATAGTGGAAAAGAAACACAACCGCATTTCCAAAAATGTTATGATGCTGTGCAAAATGTAAATAAAAACAGAATGCATTGATATGCAAATCAGGTAAGCCCTATATTTAATTGAAAATAATACAAAGTCAACAAATCAAATATTGAGACTACGGAACTTCGTTTATTTTGAATTTAATGCCAGCTACACAATTTTAAAAAGTTAGGACAAGGATGGGTTTACCATTGTGTTGCATCACCTCGTTTTAACAACATTCTGTAAGTATTTCGGAACTGAGGAGACCAATTGCTGTAGCTTTGAAAGTGAAATGTTTGTGGTTTAACATTGTCTTGCTGAAATAAATGAGTCATTCCCTGAAAAAGATGTCATCTGGATGGTAGCATGTGTTGCTCCAAAACCTGTATATATCATTTAGCATTAATTGTGCCCTTACAGATGTGGAAGTCACTCATGTCATGTGCATAAATGCTCCCTCATACCATCACAGATACTGGCTTTTGAACTGTGCATTGACAACAAGCTAGGTAGTCCCTCTCCTCTTTAATCCAGAGGACACGGCATCCACGATTTCCAAAAAGAATTTTAAAATGTGATTTCTCGGACTGTGTTCACAGACAATGGTTTTTGGAAGTGCCCATGTGGTGACTTTCACTTTCTGTTTTTAATGCTGTTCCATCTGAGGGACCGAAGATCACAGCCATCGAATATTGGTTCTCAACCTTGTCCCTTACATACAGAGATTTCTCTGGATTCTCTGAATCTGTTAAAGATATTATGTAGCACAGATGATAAAATAGCAAAGAACTTTCGGAATTCATGTTGAGAAAAGTTATTCTAGTAGAATTGTTGCAGTAAGTGCCTGTGCAGTCTTTCACAAAGAGGTGAACTTTCCCCATCTTTACTTCTGAAAGACTCAGCCTATCTGGGATGCTCTTTTTATAAGAAATCATGTTACTGACCTGTTGCAAACTAACCACCAGGTGTGATTTTAGCTGTACACAACTTTACCAGCCTTTTGTTGCCCCTGTCACAACTTTTTTGAAATATGCTGCTGGCATCAAATTCAAAATTGGCAAATATTTTTCAAAAAACAATAAAATTTCTCAGTTTCAACACTTGGTATGTTATCTTAGTAATATTTTAAATTAAATATAGGGTTCAAATGATTTGCACATCATTGCATTGCTTTTATGTACATTTTGCACAGCACAACTTTTTTGCAAATACATGAAATGCGTTCTGCTTTAGGAAAACTGTATTAGAATAGAGAGTATGAATATATGTAAAGGGGTGGATTTAGTGATTCTGAGGCTCTAGGCAAAAGGCAATATCTTGAGATGCTAGGTTTTATATTCAAGATTGTTGTAAGAATATTATTATAATATTTAAAAAGCCCATATCCCAATTTTGTGTTTAGTTTCCATATATGGACGGTATGGAAGGAAGAACGAAGAGAAACGTTTAACAATATTCGCATACTACATCAATCTCTTAGCAAGGAAGAAAACAAAGAAAATTTGGTTTTCCAAAACATCAGAGCTTTTACTTATTTCTAGATATTAAGTAATTTCATTAAGTGAAATCTTCTCATTATATTAGCAGATCATTTTGCTTGTTTTACGAAATATGCCAGACACAAACAAAAAACAGCATTCTTACTAGTTTGTAGTGTGTTCCTGGATTGTAGTGTGTTGGCGAGGTCTGTTTGGTTCATGTTCCTCAGGACGTGCAGTGCAATCTGCAGTGTTCCTTCTCTGACACTCTGATTCACCTCACCCTCCACCTCCCTCTCAGAGCATGCTGGGAAATCTGGACTCAGTACATTCTTGAACCTCTTCAGCTGATTCTTCACCAGGGAGATGACTTTGTGCTCCAGTTCCTGATTGGACATAAACATTAACAGAAAACGACTGAAACACCACCATGTCATAGTTCAGTGGTTCTCATATCAGGACCACTGAGAGACTTTTAAAGCTGGTCTGCGGATATTTTTTTTTTTTACTTTTATTTAATAAAACACAATGTGTACAATAAAAAACTTTATTCCATTAAATTTATGAGTAGAGCATAAAAATGAACTAAAAATGTTTCTCGGCACGCTGTGTAGTATATCAGCACTTTGTACTGCATTTGCCAACAAGTGTTCTCCAACCTTCACCAAATATTATATTTGGTGGTGCCAATATTCTTGAAATCTATATTTAAAAAATGCATTATTAAATTAAACATGTAAAAATGTTGTTGATACATGACACTTCTGTTTTTCATAATAGAGGCTTAACTTGCATATGTAGATGCAAAAACAAACTTTTTTCCTTTTTTAAAATCACAGTGTAAAAATTTATTCTTCTTAACCCTTTGTTTAAGCTCAATCTTACTGTATGTACAGTATGTGTGCTTTATATAATATATTAATAATATTTTCATAAAGGTGCCAAAAAATCTGGAGTTTAATGTACGTGATGAACTGAAAATTTCACAGCTATCCACTTTACATGTTTTTAACTGGGATATGGTGATTTTTTGGATATTTACTTATTTACTTTAATTTTGCAGTATGGTATGTTAAGCAATAATGGGGCAATATGTATTTGCAAAAAAGGTGCCTCATTGTGTTCCACAGTTTCTAATATATATTTAAAAACTATATTTATTTTAACAATTTTAACACATTTACATTTAGGAGGCTTGTAACAACACAAAGCACAAAAGATATTTTGCAGGGCTGTTTCCAGACCCACATGGTGAATTAAAATTGTTTTATTGTAATTAATTGTTTAAATCAGAATTTGTGGTGATTTTAAAGTGTACAACTGGCAAGTTTTAAGAACTTTCTTTTATGTGCATAGATCAACAGATTCATTTGTGTCATACTGTAATATCAATTATTTTTATTGTAGGTTTATGTATGAAAAGACATTTACATAAAAGGAGGCCCTGAGTTGACATAGCATTTGACGTGTGCTGATAAAACAGCATTTTAAGCAAGTAGTGCCAGTGTTGACATGTTATTAGATCTTTATTAATTACATCTGAATAACATCAGTCCCTGTAGGCTCTTAACCAAGTCATGGCATACCTGTGATTAAAGATAGCAAATCAGTATCAATGGGTATCGCTTTCGGGCTGATATCAGCAGGAAAAAATAATAAATGTGATCCAATGAAACAGCACTCAGTCACACTATGTGTTGTGATGTTGTGGAGTGTTTGAGTAGTTAACATTAGAGGCTGACTGATGATTAATGTGAGATTCTCAGAAGAAAATATACACATACAGAACACAAAAACACACACCTGGAATATGGACTCTAAATGTGTCTTGGTGATCTTTACTCTCTCCTTTTGGGCGCTATAGAAAAGAAAAAAGAAACAAAATTGAAATTTATAGCATACCTACACAACAGACACCATTAAACAGACTGAGAGGTAAAACTACTGTGATTCAATAATTAAAGGTGCATGAGTAAAAACTGAGAATAAGCAAACTTCTAGCAGTTAAATAGGTGAGCTACAATAATATTGGAATTATTTCGACCATCCTCTCATTTCGACCCATCAACACCACGTACACCCATAGAATCGACAGTGACCAGTTTGTCAGCATTACCGAGCATTGTCATTGCCGAAGTAGGCTATTTATTAAGAGTACTGCCTTTCTTGGTTATTTAGATATAGAAAATAAAACTATGTCATTATACTAATGTTGTTTGAGAGGAGATCAAAATACTCTCAACATCTCTCAACATCTCAACAGAACACACTGAGTGTGGTCCTTTTATATTGCTAAAGCCCTATTTGAGCTGGATTAGTTTAGGCAGAAGAGCTGTCGGTAATACCCGGATGTTCACTTCAGCACTAAAATTTTAATTAAAGGGATCCAAACAAATAAACAAACACCAAAAACAAACTTCTAATTAATTTGAGTTAGAACAGCACTAAGGCTAGTTAAGTGTGCTCACTTAACAAATGCCGACCATGACAGAAATCGCTCTGCTTTGCAAAAGGTACCTTCAAATATTTAATTTTTCTTCTCCTAATTAGAACATCACCAAAAATGTTGTAGATTATAGTAGTCATACTCCATTTTATCTGTTAGAACCACCATGCACCCACAAAAAAAAACAGATACTGAAGTCTATTATCAGGTTTTCTTACTACATTACTACGAATTTGATTCCAACAGGACAAATATTACTAAAGGAGGTCAGAGTACAACAAATTATTAGTATTTGACCGAATAATCGGTTAGCCGATTAATTGACAACAGGTCAGTATCATGATTGGTTATAAAAGAGCATCCCAGACAGGCTGAGTGTTTCAGAAGTAAAGATGAGGTTCACCACTCTGTGAAAGACTGCATGATCAAACAGCGCAACAAGAATATTTCTTATTCAAGAATAATGTTTCTGAACATAAAACAACAAAGAACTTTTGCTTTTCATCACCTACGGTACATAATATCATTGAAAGTTTCAGAGAATCTGAAATGATTCTGTAGAGGAAGTCCCTGCATGAGCTCAGGAACACTTCTAATGCAGGTTAAAACTTTAAAATGCAAACAAGAAACCATATATAAACAGGATCCAGAAATGCTGCCACCTTCTTTGGGCCTGAGCTCATTTAAAATGGACTGAGGGGAAGTGGAAAAGTGTCCTGTGGTTCTACAAATCAAAATTTGAAATTCTTTTTGGAAATCAAGGAAACCGTGTCCTCCGCACTAAAGACCCCTCAGCTTGTTATCAGTGCATATTTCAAAAGCTAGTATCCATGATGGTATAGGTTGCATTAGTGCACATGGCTTGGGTGAGGTGCACATCTGTGAAGGTACCATTAACGCTGAATGATATATACATGTTCTGGCAACATATGCTGCCATCCAGACAATGTCTTTTTCAGGGAAGGCCTTGTTTATTTCAGCAAGACAATGCCAAACCACATTCTGCATGTACTGAAACATCATTGCTCCATATTAAAAGAGTCCGGGTGCTAAACTAGCCTGCCTGCAGTCCAGACCTATCACCCACTGACAACACAATGGAGGGTTATGAAATGAAAAATACAACAAATGAGCCCCTGAACTGTTGAGCAGCTGAAGTCCTATGTCAAACAAGAATGAAAACATTTCACTTTCAAAACTACAGCAGTCGGTCTCCTCAGTTCCCGAATGCTTACAGAGTGTTGTTAAAAGAAGTGGTGATGAAACACAGTGGTAAACAGGCCCCCTGTCTCAACTTTTTTGGAACGTGTTGTTGGTATCAAATTCAATAAACAATAACATTTCTCAGTTTCAACATTTCATATGTTGTTTTTGTAGTATTGGCCTTTAAAAATCATTGCATCCTATTTTTATTTACATTTTGCACAGCGTCCCAATTTTTTTGGAAATGGGTTTGTAACTGACATTAGCCGATGTCTGCTCTCACGAGGCCAATTATGAAAAAAATTGCACATCTGCAGGCAGCCTTGTCCGTGTGGCTCCTGCGGCCCAATGTTATTGCTCCCCCTTGTGTCAATTACGCCATTCTACAGGCAGATGTCAGGTTTCACAGGGAGCTGTGAAGCGGTGGGAAACATGCCAATGCTGGATGTAACATTTCCTGAAAGAACACGGTAAGACTTAAATTCCTATCTTTCAAAGTTTAATACATTTAAATGGCCACTCTCAATAATATATACAATGTTTACTGTCCGTATAATTAGACTGATTCCAGTCTTTTAGTGAGAAAAACTTTGGGAGAGTTGGAAAAATATAAATAAAAAGAGACAGCAATGATTTTCAAATCCCTTTTGACAGTACAAAAACAAGATATTTAATGTTTCAACTAAATAATTTTATTGTTCTGTGTATATATACACTTAACCTAAATCTGATCACTATGTGACATCAGCTTTCATTTTAACAGCGTACAGCAATTGTTTGGGAACTGAGGATACCAATAGTTGTACTTGTGAAAGTGGAATTTTTTCCCCATTCTTGCTTGCTATAACACTAGTCAACAGTCCAGGGTCTTCGTTGTCATATATTGTATTTCACAATGCGCCACAAACAAATGCTGTTGTGACACACACATTATGTGGCCTGGCCTTGTCTGAATCTTTTGATATATGTTATGAACTGAATGTTATTCACTCAAAATGAATGAGCGAACCTCAACCCATCCTTGCTCATAAATAACTGAGCATTTCATAAATGCTCTTTTTGTACTCATGACAGCATCACCTCTTACCTGTTCAACTGTTTACCCGTGGAAATGACCAAAACAGGTATTTTTAATCATTTCACATGTCACATTCCACTTTTTTGGAATGTCTTGCAAACATCAAATTTGGAATTAGCATATAGCCTGTTTACAAAAATCAATAAAGTCCATAACAAACAAATCACTGCTTTCTGTTTTTATTTGCATTTTACCTACTGTCCCAACTTTTTCTGGAATCGGGTTTGTAATACAGATTAGCCACTAATGTCAATAAAATATCCTGATCCTGACATCCAGGTGCACAAGAGCCTCATATAGTTTTGGTCAGTGTAAGAACAGCTATGCTTCATACAAAGTCTCACCTTTCAAGTTTCCCTCTGTCAGGCTCCCCAAAGAGACTCATTTTGGAGGTCAAGCTTCCTCCTAAAAATTAAAAAATGAAACATTTCCTTATAATTTTATTACTTGAAATTTCCGCAGGAGATTAAACAGAGAGAAAGATTAAAAAGTTTAAAGAAAAATTAAACAAACGAGAAAATACAAGTTGCTTTGTTCATTTTTACACAAAAATAGAACATTTAAAATACATAGAAGAACACTTTTCACATATCCGGGTTCTCACTTGCATCTGTTTCTGTTAGCAGGTTATTTAATCTCTGGTTGAACCAAACCAAATGGCACAGTCCAGCTTTAAGGAATTTTGCTGTGTTCCTCACAATTCCAAGACAAAAACAGCTTTACCTGGGATTTCATAAATTTCCATACAAGCACACATTAAGATGAAAATGTATCCAGTCAATCCGAAGGGTTGAGGGTCCTAATTCTGAGCTTTTGAGACGAAAATCACATTGTACAGTTAAGATGGATTCACTCTTAAAGTGGAGAACGCAAAATGCTTTCTGCTTATTATCATTATTAGAAATGCATTTTTACTTAAACAGCTAAACAGTATCTCATACAGTTAAAGACAATGATAGAGAGAGAGAGAGAGAGAGCACAATTTTTAAACTCTGTTTGAATGGTGCCCTGATGTGTCTGATAGCTCATTATTAATGTGAGATGATATCTGTATTGTCTGTGTACAGCGAGGGTGTCCAAAATCCTGCTCCAGGGCCAAACGCAGACAGATTTTAATTGGCCAGTGGCTTCTGGTTTAGAGTGTGTTGTAAGTGGCCTGCCAGTCAGTATGTTGCAGTTTTTTCCTTTCAACTGATGGTGGCAGCGCCACTGTAAAATTACAGTGTAATGCGCTTCACTGTGGTAACAAAGTTAACTGAAGTTTAAGAGCCTTTCCTCTCTAAAAAGACCTGCAGCCTCATTTACTGAAATACAACTAGCCAAACTACAGCCATAAAGCAAAAACTTAACACAGAGAACCGGCGATTTTGGTGAGATGAAAATTTGAATAATTTTTCCATCGAGAGCCATGGAAAATGTATGTGCCTCAAAAGACTCAAAAAAAGTGTCAAAAGACTGTAATAAATGTTATATCACTAAAAATTAAACAAAGCATGTTAAGAAATATTTAGGGGAGGTGAGGGCAGAGAAACTAAAGAAAGTTCTACCCTCCCTAGGTCTCAAAACACAAACTTTTTATCATAGCAAATTCAGTAGTTCAGTAAACCCAAACTATAAAGGGGGTATTTATGCTGTTTAATCTGCTCCGCTCGTAACAACGGAAGCTTGTAACAATGGAAGAACCATTTTTGGTGCGATATAGAACCCTTTTCAAAAGGTTCTATACAGAACCATCTACAGCACATTATCCATCAATCTGAAGAACTATTTCATGATGCAAAAAACCATTCAAGCAGGCAAAGTATTCTTTGAGTGTTCATGGTTCTATATAGAACCATTTTCTGTTGTTATTACTAAAGAAACCTTGAAGATGACCGTTTGGATAAAGTATGTTCCTGCAAAAGTATGTTGCAGCTGGGAGCTGCTCTGTTTTGTTACGTTTTTGACTGGTTTTCTGAGTCTTTTAAATTTAACTGGGCTTTCTTCTAACTGGTTTATGAGCTGATGCACTCATAATTTGTTCATACTCTGTAACACTGGTGAAAAAGAAAGTGGCAAAGAAAAAGTATTTGATTAGAAATGAACTAAAGTTAAAGTACTATTATTAAATTTTACTCTAAAGAGTACTGTTACTTGGAAAAATGTGCTCAAGTACAGTAACGAGAGCATGTAATGTGTTACTCCGCATGTCTGCTAATGCTGAAACTCTCATCACTGTGATGATAAAAATATGATATACTGTGCAGCTCTAGTCTGTTGGCCCATGTTTTCTGATCCAGCTATAACCTACTCTGCTTAACACTGATCACTTTTTTAAATCACCTTTTAAATCATGAGGCTTTATCAAATATCTGCAGTTGTCATTTACTTACCACCTAAATGTTGATGTTTCAGTCTTCTTTCAAGATCTTCCATCTCATCGTCTGTGTTGGTGTACCATCTACCACCATTGGCTGCTACTAGTTTGTCTATCTTTGCTATAAGTTGTCTCACTTGACCCTTTTCACCAGGATTTTCGTTGTTGAAGGAGTGGTACCTGCTGCTACACTTCTGAACCAGCTGCTGAAGACTGTCCCCGGCAGTGCTGATATACTCCTCAATTGAGGCATTTTTTAAGATGTCTTTAAAAGTGAAGAGGATAATGGTGAACATGTAGAGCTTCTGCCCAAACACTTCGATCACTCTGTCCACTGTGTCCCTCTCATCCTGGGTGAATCGGCCCACGGGGATCACCAGAAGGAAAACATGGGGCCCTGGGTCTGAGAGCTGGAGGCACTGGAGCAGTTTCTTCTTAGCTGTGTTTGAGTCCATTTCTGCAGTCAGTCCTGGAGTGTCCACCACCATGATCCGCTTTCCTCCCAAGGTCACAGTCTGGGCCTCACACTGCTGGGTGACCGCAGAAGCGCTAAGCCTAGACAAAAAGCGAGATGAGCCAAGCAGCGTGTTGCCTGATTCACTCTTGCCTGCACCTACATTCCCCAGAAGGACCACCCTGGAGTCCTGATGCCCTGAAAAGACAACAAAAGAAAAAAGAGAAATAAATAAGGAGGGCTTAGCATTTTAAAATGCAGCCACTGTCCGCTCTGGAAAATGAACCCACATACACTCATCCAGATTTGAAAGCATGTGCAGAAAATGTCGTCTGATAAAAAGCAACATTGAAAAAGTCAATTAGCATCTGATGTGTTCATAACAGAGGTCATTTTAAGACATTCTACTAGAAAGATTTATTTAATTCACTGTATCAGGTTTCGAGTTGGTGAAAAAAATTACATCCACCATATATATAAATATATACCATATACACCTTAAGTAATACCATAGAAAAATCCAAGCAACTCAGCGAAGACCTCAGAAAAAAAAATGTTAAATCCATGTACACACACACACACACACACACAGCGATCATGCATACCATTATGACCACCTCCTTGCTTGTGTTGTGCTGGTCTGAGAGGATTAGACACAGCAGTGCTGCTGGAGTTTTTAAACATTGTGTCCACTCACTGTCCACTCTATTAGACACTCCTACCTTGTCAGTCCATCTAGTAGATGTAAAGTCAGAGACGATAGCTCTTCTGCTGCTGCACAGTTTGTGTTGGTCACAGGACGCTGCCCACAGGACACTGTTGGCTGGATATTTTTGGTTGGTGGACTATTCTCAGTCCAGCAGTGACACTGAGGTGTTTAAAAACTCCAGCAGCACTGCTGTGTCTGATCCACTTCATTTGTTTTTGGCATTACCTGATTTGTGAAACCTTTCAGAGTTTGTTGCACCTGAATGATTTATGCAGTTCTACTCACAATGTCTTGGATAATATTGGAATATTTCAGTTATTCGGCCAAATATTGACACAGCTATGCATAAAACACCAATAACTGATCACATAAAGAGACCAGGCTTAAATCAGCCCACCTGTGTGAATTTTTATACAACTATATTGGTCTCTATTAGTTATTTATTGGCTAGCTTTTGCACCAAAATGCTGAACAGTGGGAGGTTTTGTGCTTGGAATGGCATTTCAGAGATATACACTGCCAATAACAAAGCAAATGTAAGTTGTTGTAGCTTTCTACCTGATTTGTGAAAATATGCACAAATATATTTGTTCTAAAATTGTGAATAGACATACATAGGTCATTCAAATATACTGAACTCTGTTTGTGAAAGTTTTCACAAGACAGGTAATGTTAAGTAATGTTTAAGTGGTAAATAATGTTTATGGGTTTTTAGTAGTGTAAAAGTCAAAACCTCCTATTAGCTTTTTAGTGCAAAAGCTGGTCAATAAATGACTGACAGACAAAACACTACTGTGAAACATAAAGGTTAATTTGAGCATGCTTTCATCTCCTTATATGGTTATTAATGTACCAGTGATTGGCCAACTAAACAAAATGTTCTATTTTTACATGTGATAATGGATCAAAGAGACAGAAAATAACGTGCAACTCCTCGTTTCATTGAAAATAAACTACCATAAATAAATAAATAAACAACCACCACTTACTTTCACTTTCCTTATTGGTGGTCTACAAATTACAAATAACACAGCACAATATAAAGGCCAGTCAACTTCACTGAAGCCCGTCATGAGGACAGCGCCCCGATATACCACCCATCGAGCGGTCCTACTGAGCATGCGCACATCACCACAGCGCACTAACTCAGTGTTTTTAATGTTAATTCAGCCTTAAATCAAGTCTGTCACACAGACTCAATTTCATATTCCTACTCAGACACTGATGAGGCCGTTTAGGCTATCAAAACACCCTAATTATTCTTTTACTGCAGGTAACATTTTCTGAAAAGGTCAAATTAGAGTTAATTACTCTTTTATTTCTTGTAACATTTCCTAATAAGGTGATTTAGGCTATCAAAACATCCTGTCCTGGTTTAAGTGGGGAATTCGCGCTACAGCGGAACGTTTCGTCCGGTCCAAGACCCGAATAATCTGATCTACCTCACTTCTGTTTTCAGTGTAAAACTGAAGGCTACTTACGGTCGGAGTGCGCCATTTCCTTAGACTAAGGGTGTAAATCTGCAGACGACAGCGTTCATCTTCTCATCCTTCTACTCTCTGTCAGAAGAAACCATTTTGTTACAGAAGTAAACACCTTTAAACGCCACAAGTACGGAGACCTGAGGAGCCCCGTCCGGTGCGGCGCGCACACGCCACAGAGACGAAACTCAGGGTCCGTTCCGGTTCTGTCCTTCATTCGCCCTCGCTCACTTACCCTCACCCTCACCCTCAGCTGCAGGGCCGCTCGGCCAGCCAGGCAAACCTTGAGAGCAACGCGTTTTTAGGAGGTTTGAGCATAACGTAGCCAGCCTGTGTGGCAAATACTCCGTCCGGCTCTCACCTTGGAGTAGAATCGATGGTGAAATGTCTTTGTTTTTGTTGTTTTTAGCCGTGTAGCCCTTGGCATGCTAACGAGCCGGCTAGCGGAGGACAGTGAGGCTGTATCAGCGGTTATGGAGGAGTTTGTAACTTACAGCTCAGTAAACTGAATATTATGGGTTTGAAACTGTAAACAGTTCAGAGACATTCACTGCCACGGCTTATAAATAGCTGTGTCCGCCGCTGCCTTCCAGTCCTGTGTTCAAGAGCTGACCCCCATAAACGAGCCCCGGAGTTTCTGATTTGGGGGGCGTGTCAGCAAAAAGCAGTTTTCAGCAAATTTCAGTTATTCGGCGTAACCCATGAAAAAACCCACTGCAGATTAAAATCATCCACACCAAAAATACAGATGTATGTTATGTGATGCTGAACCCCTTTGCTGTCATTGCGTTGCAGTAGTGCAGCATAAACGGTATAATCGGACTCTCTAACGGCATAGAAACAAACGTTAACAATAAAAGCATCATTTATTTTGTTTACGACCAAAACCACTTGGACTCAAAATGAAGTCATGTTTACGAGCTCTGTAACTCCAGAGGCAGCAGTGTTGTGGAGTTTGAGAGCTCAGTGTCTCAGGTGGTGAAGATCTCAGGGCGAGTTCTGTCCACACTGCTGTTCGAGGGCTCCTCTAACAGCCTTCACTTCAGCGAATAAAGTAATGGAACAGCCCTTAAGATGTGGACTGGAAATGACCAGGCCTACTGGGAAACTATTGAAACAGGAACTGGGAGCGGTTTGGGCGAGCGATGAGCAAATCAGCCCACCGCCCACTCTCAACACCCTCCATTATACACATCCATTTTCCCTCGAAATGGCTGCAAACCGTGAGGACAGCGCGCTGGGTGAGTGACCATTCTCAGAGCTGTGTTTGCTCAGCCGTTATATCGATACACACTTCGGCATTATTTAATCCGTTAGTTTTGGAGGTGACGCGGTATGGTGATGACGGCAACCAGCTTTACGCCAGATCCCAGATCCCATCACAGATTACTTTCGATTTCAAATCTGCTCTTTTTTATTTTAATAGACATTAAAACTTGCAGATTGACACTTATGCACGATAGGAGTAACCTGAGCAATACTGGCTGCTGTTTTGTCACTGTTTTGTTTATTGATTGAGTTAATATGATTTTGTTGAGTGACCTGTTGCTTTATTTTCTTGCTGCAGCGCAAACAGCTGGCAAAGAGCCAGCAGAGACCAACAGCATACATCACCCTCCTGTCTGTAAGTTTCAAGCTGGACAAATAAATTAACGTCAGTAAAAATAACTGAATGAATAAAATCTTAAAATTGTTTGATATGAATTTATCCATAAATACTTTTGGAACAGTTATTAGTGAATATATCTGTGTATTAACTGTCAGACCTTTCAGTTTCCTACTGGAAGAGTCCTCACTAAGATGCAGCACACTAATATGAAGCCATAGCTAATATGCTCTGTGAGCTCCACTGGACCAAGTACAGTCCAAATGAAGTGACCTCTACAGTTCTGAGCATAAACAGACTTGATGTAGCAAAAAACACAAATCCAAAAGCCCCACATGACACCGTCTTATATTTCCCAACATCATAACTGCCTAGTATTTTGTATGTAAAAGTGAAAAAACTATAAAAATCAAATAATTTCTGTTGTTTTTATAATATTAAAAAAATCAGGAAACTATTATTTGGATTAAACAAAGTTCCTCTATTAGTGTCCTCTCTTAACATTTCTGTGTTCTCTGATTTAAGTGTCTATGAGGATAGTGCTGGTGGGGAAGACTGGTGTGGGGAAGAGCTCTACTGGAAACACCATCTTGGACCAGGAGGTCTTCCACGTGTCCTATTCTGCCCAGTCAGTGACCAAAGACTGTATAAAGGCCAGAGCAGAGGTTGACGGTTATGAAGTGTCTGTGGTCGACACTCCTGGTTTATTCGACACTGACCTGACAGAAACAGCAGTGATTAACAGACTGGTTGAATGTATCACTCTGTCCTGTCCTGGACCACACGTCTTCCTCCTGGTGCTCAGACTGGGTCGCTTCACTCAGGAGGATCAACAGACGGTGAAGAGACTTCAGTGGATCTTTGGTGATGAGGCGCCTAAATACACCATCGTTCTCTTCACTGGGGGGGACCGACTGAAAATCCATACCCTAGAGGAGTATTTGGCTACAGCAGGAAACGAGCTGAGTCAGGTGGTGGAGACGTGTGGTGGACGCTATCATGTCTTTAACAACGAGAACATGGCAGACCGCACTCAGGTCACTGGACTGATGGATAAGATCTTCACAATGGTGTCAGAAAATGATGGTGGCTCCTACACCAACGAGATGTATGAAAGTGTGGAGAGAGCGATTCAGGAGAGAGAGGAAGAGCTGAGAAGCGAGATGGAAGAACTGGTTAAGGCCAAAGACAAAGAGATAGTCCAGCTGAAGTGGGAGCTCAGAGAAAGAGCAGAGAGAGACGTGAAGAAGAAGAAATTTCCACAGTTCAGAAAAGTCACAGAGCAGTGTAAACAGCAGTGATAGTGACTCTCACTCAAACACTCTCCACTTTTCTCTCCGTCCTGTCTTCCTCATTTATCTCAAAATCTACATCGAGTGTTTTCACTGTTTATTACTTTTTTACATGCAGTATTGCGCTTTAATACTTATATACTTGTTATGCCTTTAAACTTAAGACCTTCAGACGTTATATAGCAATTCTGATATATTGGGGGTATCCAAAAAATCCTCTTATTAAGTCAGTAAACATAACGTTCCGTTAAAATGTTTGGTACTGTAGGTTAATGCAGAGTTTTGATTAAGTACGCCTAAAATCCTAAAAGTAAAACACAAACAAATCCTCTATGTTCAATTGTAAAACATTGTTTTGCTAAAGAAACTACTAAAAATGGCCCCAGTGAGTCCCTAAATCTCAACACTCATGATCACTCAAGACCTATGAATATGCTGTGTTAGCCTTCTCGCTAAGGTATTATTAACCTCTAGTGCTAATGAGGATAGTACATCAAAAGTAGCTTAAGCTAACAGCTACACACAAAAACACAGATTTACCCACTCAGATTTGAGTCTTTATTTTCTAAACTTGCGTAAGTGAGACTTCAGTGGGCCAGAATGATCATGTGTGGTTGTGTGTAAAGCTGTTAAGTCCTACTTGCAAAGCTAACAGTAGCTTCTGGTGCTAACAAGGACCATAAATAAAAAGTTGCTTAAGCTAATAGCTCCACACACAGGTACAAAATTACAGAGTTGCTGCTCTGTAATTTGTGTGAGTGAAGTTTCAGTGAGCTGGAATGAACCTGTGCTGTGAATCAAATCTTTGGCAGAGTAGCAGTAAAAAAAATCACTTTCTGAAGACAGTGATTAGTTCAGTTTCTAATCTAATCAATCACAGCTGATCAGCTGATCTAGACTTTCTGAACACAGTGATTAGTTCACTTTCTACTGTAATCAATCACAGCTGATCAGCTGATCTAGACTTTCTGAAGACAGTGATTAGTTCAGTTTTTATCTAATCAATCACAGCTGATCACCTGATCTAGACTTTCTGAACACAGTGATTAGTTCAGTTTCTACTGTAATCAATCACAGCTGATCACCTGATATAGACTTTCTGAAGACAGTGATTAGTTCAGTTTCTACTGTAATCAATCACAGCTTATCTAGACTTTCTGAAGGAAATGATTAGTTCAGTTTCTACTGTAATCAATCACAGCTGATCACCTGATCTACACTTTCTGAACACAGTGATTAGTTCAGTTGTGTTCAGTTCAAGTTTTTTTTATTTATTATTCATTTAACTTGTAGATTGGTGAAAAAAGTTTTAACAAACTGTTATCCATGTTTATAAATTAAAGCCTTAATATTTGTCAATAAGAATTTAAATTAATAGACCTAAACTAAATAGTCTGTTTTTAAGACTGTCTATTGAATCATTTCACATTAAAATGTTTGAATAAATTCCAAATATATTAATTTTGTTCAAGGTAGAATGAGTGAATATTGATAAACAGTGTATATACAAAATTCTAGAAATGATTAAACAGAAATGATCAAGTGTACTCAGATCTTAATCATTAAGGTTGTGTATTGTAAATAGACTCCAGTTATATTGTGTCAAAGTGGCTTTAGGTCCAAACTGTTTAAATAAGTATTCTGTCTGTGTGAGGACTTAATCACGTTTCCCCTTTTTAGGCTTTGTATCCAAAAATACAACATTTAGAGGATGTCGTCCCTCTCTAGTAGCCTCTCAGAATGTTGAGGTCATTTCAGACTCTCCTAAGGACAAGTAGACGTGTGTAGAGTATGTGGAGCTACATAACCATCCAAATGGTTTTAATGTTACTATATTAATCTTTTTTTTTTCATGCTTACTGTTTAGGATCTGATTAACACCCTTGGCCCTGTTTATATGAATCCACAGCAGAAAACACTGCCACTGACAAAGAGTGTCCGAGGTTGTCTATAGACACTTTTGAACCAAGAGTCATATGGGGGCATAGCAGAGTGTGATAAATACAGAGTGTACCTGCGAGACCAGAGCTTTTTGTATTCCTTGCAGTTCTTATTTGATTCATTTTGTCAGCCAAATACTCTTTATCTGGAAAAGTACATCAACATTAATAAAGTATTCCCAAAACCATCGCAGTCGCATCATGCTTTTATTGTTGACTCACCATTCTTCAGCCTTTCTGCAACAGTTTTTGGTTCTTAAGGTGATATCTCCTTGGCTGTCCTTCAGAATGATAAGGATGTTGTTCATGTTGTGATGTTATAGCACATATGACATGAAGCAGTGGCCTTATATACCAAAAGGTCTAATAGAGAAATAGTGCACACCTGCTCCAAATGTGTAGATTGTTATTTTTAATTTGTTACAATGAGCCAAACTGCCACTCAAAACACATCTTTCCATTGAGCAGTGATTGGCTTTTAGATTTAGTGAGTGGTGTTACGTGTCCGGCCTGGATAAGGGGTGTCTGGCCGGTATATTTCTCTCTCTCCCGCTCGCCCGTTCGTTCTCTCTCTTTTTCCCTCTCTGTTCCGTATGTCTCCTCCCTCGGTTGCTCCCTATCTCTGCTACAGGTTGGCTGCGGTGTCGGTCGTCGTTAGGGGCTTGACGTATGCCACTTGACGGCAAATCATCATGCAGAGTTCCGGCCCTGGAGGAGGGACTTGAACTTTAAAAGCAGCCCGGCAAAGCTCGTGAGGAGGCTGGCGTTACCCCTGTGCTCCAAGCTGTTTAGGCGTGCTCCTAGTTGTAGTTGCTGTCGCAGACACAAAAGCTTTCTGTTCTTTCTGCTCGTGCAGTTTTGGTGTATGTCTGCGATAGCTTTGTCTGTATGTTTGTTCGGTTCACTTTAGCTTGTGTTTTTGTGCCTCGCACTGTTAATCACGCTAGCCTTGCTGTTAATGGCTGTCTGCTCTCTCTCTCCCTTTCTCTCTCTCATACGCTGCTTTGCCTTCTCGGGGTTCTGGACAGGTTAGATGGGCGCGCTCATACATTTTACATCACGTAGCTGCCCATTGTATAGATACCTTAGGAAAGGGGCGGGCGCCAACTCATGTATTTGTGTTATGCCGTAGGGAAGCCTAGAGTAGATAGTTTTTTTTTGTCTACTAGGTGAGGATTTCAATTAAAGAGCTAGGGTAGTTTTTTTTGTTGTTGTTGTTGTTGTTTTGTTTGTTTTGTTAATTTCTTTCCTTTAGCGCCGTCCGGGTCCAGAATCCCGCTCTTTTTGACAGCAAGCATATTGGCCATTTTTTTTTTTTCTGTAAATATTACCGGAGGTCTCACTCTCTACCTCTGGCATGTAATAAACAAGAAAAGCAGCTATCCTATTTGTGTCTTGCTCCTTCCTGGTTCGTGCTGCAACCGTCACATTTAAACCATATGTTACTGACCCCATTATCCCCTAGGCTTTCTTGTGGGGTCGTAACAGTGGTCTTTAGCCTACATAAATTGAACGCATTTCAGTTAGCAGTGATGCCATTGTGTATCCCATTTAGGTTCTACTCTTAAGTGGTGTGTATGAAACTGCAGTTTGTAAGTGCATATATTCATATATTGTCCACATCAGTAATGACATTAAATTGTTGGGAGATAAAACTAACCTATTATAACTGATCACATAACATGCAATGCTGCATGTTATTTAATGGATGTATTGTGTAACAGTACTTCAGTAGGAACACCAGTGAAGGATGTGCCCAATATGAGTCACTAATGAATAATGGGGTTAATTTATACATTGTATTATTGTGTAGACGTCTGTGCTTCTTCAGGCACAGACGAAGCAGTTATTCAGGCATTGAAGATGAACAGTGGCTGTGGTTAATTGAAGATGAATTACTTAACACAGTCACCTTCTGAACAACACAGTGTTTTGTTCTTATATTCCAGAACAGCTTTCCTTCTGGTGTTGGTTCATGTAAAGAAACATGACACCATACTCATTCACACAGCTTTATTTGTTTATCAAATTTTAAAACTTTTACAAAGTTTACAGAAAAATAAAAATAAATCAAAATGCAATAGTAATGTAGTGCTTTAAAAAACAGTCAAGTTATAAATCATAAAAGCATTTCTGAGTGCTTCATAAAAATAAAATAAAAAGACAAAGACCATTCAAAGTTCTAGAAAACATCAAAATAAAAAGACTGAATAAATATCAGGCATCATAAGTCTTTTCACAACACGAAATGATAATTAAATACGTTGAATAATGCACAGAAATAAACTGTCCTGCTACTAGAGAGCCTGATAGTATTAGGTCTTTAAGAGCTACAGCAGAGATTTACACTTTAGAAAAAGTTTCATTTTAGAATAAAACGAAACCCACATCACAGGTGTCAGCGGAGCTTCTAGCCGATGAGGATTAAGCTCTGCTTACGCAGCTGGTGGGAAGCCTCTGGCTACAGAGAGATCTTTCACTGAATGGAAGGATTTTATTATCCAAGGCTGAGGAAATCTCCAGATCTGTTTACATATCTTTATCATTAGATATGCCCCATAACATGTGCCAAGAGTTAGATCAAATGATATTCAACTTCATATGGAAGAACAGAGCTCATTATTAACAAAGGATGTTTTATGTAATAATAAAAGTAATGGTGGTTTAGACGTTTTAAGTTATGAAACCTTAAATAATACATTCAAAGTTGACTGGATTATTAGGCTCATTCAAGAAAGAAAATAACATGTATGGGATATTTTTCCAAAATACTTGTTTAATGTGATGGGTGGTGTAGAATTCTTGCTAAGATGTGACTATAAGATTGAAAAATTACCTGTTAAACTGTCCAGATTTCATGAACAGGCTGTACTAGCTTGGACCGGCTCGAGCTCCGGACTGCAGTACCGCACATCCACAAACACAGGTAGCTTCAAAAGTCGAGCTCTCAGATAAAGAAACCAGGTTCAAACTGTTCAGACTGACCTGTGAAAAACCTCACAGCTCTTATTCTGCCCGGCCGTGGTCTGAGTAGAGCGCGAGCCCGGAAAGGGAAAGTCAGTGAAATATGAGCGGTTTTTGACCTCGGCAGGTGATTTTCAGCACTAATGACTTCAGAATCTATGAAAGTGTTGATTCAGCAGCTCGGTTTGGAAAAGATTCACAGACGGAGCTGCTGTGTTTGATCACTACATACAGCTGTGTCTCCTTAGGAATCAGACTGTCTGACTCTGCAGTTTAACTCCACACTAACATCATCAGGAACCTTCAGACTCACTTGTTGTTCATATTACTCGATGTGGAAAAGATTCACAAACGGATTTTGTGATATTTTATTGTTTTATTAGTGTTGAAAATCACCTGCCGAGGTAAAAAAAACGCTCATATTTCACTGACTTTCCCTTTCCGGGCTCGCGCTCTACTCAGACCACGGCCGGGCAGAATAAGAGCTGTGAGGTTTTTCACAGGTCAGTCTGAACAGTTTGAACCTGGTTTCTTTATCTGAGAGCTCGACTTTTGAAGCTACCAGTGTTTGTGGATGTGCGGTACTGCAGTCCGGAGCTCGAGCCGGTAGAAATCCGAACCGCTGTCCGCGAGACTGCGGTGAGCTGAACAGGTAAAGCGGCAGCGCTGATAAAGGAACTGAAGAAGAGCCACATCTGACTGCCCCCCTGTTTAAACCCCCTGCTGTTGAGTTTGACTCTGTAGCAGCGCCTGATTCAAACAGATCCCAAACACTGATCAAGGGATCACCTGGGATCTGATGCAGTTAACACTTACACAGTTGTGTCACTTGGTATTTGGAGATACTTTGGCTGGATTAAATTTCCTGTTTCCACTAAAATGTGTCCCCTGTTTGTCCAGATGAGATCT